ATCTTTCTATGGGAGCACAAATGAGCGGGAATGAGAAGTAGCTCGTCCTTTTTGATGGCTTGATGGCTGAATAATATTTCCCTATTGGAAATTATTGTGGGGTAAACATCCTTGTGAATACCTCTTTGTATACTAGACTGAATATTTCAGATAAATTCCTGCAAGTGGAACTCTGGTTCGGCGACATGGTCACTATTCATCTTAAAAATACTGTCAGACTGTCCTCTAAAGAGGTTGTGCCAATTTATGGTTTGAAACAGTTTCCCCATACCATGGCCAACCGGGAATAGTGTCATTCTGTTCATTTCTGCTAACCAGGCAAAAATGATACCGCTTTATTTTGATGACTTTCTTCCTTCATTCCTTGCTTTCTTTTAATGAGATGAAGTATCTTTGATAGTGTGTTTCTTCTTGTGAACTATCTTTTTATACTCTTTATCCATTTTTCTGTTGTTTTGTTAATGTCATTTGTTTTAGATGTTTTATCCCAGGTTGTTACTTGTCTTTGCCTTTATTTTATAGTGTTTGCCAAAGAGAATTGCAGTCTGAAATAGCTGGATCTGTTCATCTTTTCATCTCAAGTTTCTAGATTTCCCTTCATGCTGAAAAAGGCCTCCATATCCCAAGGTCCTCTTCCATTTTCTTCTAATATGTTTTTTTAGCTCGACTTCATATGCTTAGATTTTTTGTGAATATACAATTTCTTCTTATACATGGTGTAAAGTAGGGATCAAACTTCCTTCCTTCCATATGGATGGCCAGTTGTCTTGCTTTGAAGTACATTTTCTGTCGCTAAGATGAAAATCCAGACCCAGATGGTTTTATGAGTGAGTCCTTTTAAGAGACTGATTATTTTGATGTTGTTTCTAATATTCCAGAATATAGAGAAGGATGGGATCCTTCCATATTTCTAATATCAAAACATGAAAAATTAACACAAAAAATAAAACAGTAGGTCAGACTGACTTAGGAATATAAATTAAAACTCTAAGTATTAGAAATTGAATCCAAGGGTCTATTAAAAGAGTAATATACCCGTGCACCTGGGTGGCTCAGTTGCTTAAGCGTCTGCCTTCGGCTCAGGTCATGATGCCAGGGTCCTGGGATCGAGGCCCGCGTCGGGCTCCCTGCCCAGCGGGAAGCCTGCTTCTCCCTCTCCCACTCCCCCTGCTTGAGTTCCCTCTCTCGTTGTCTCTCTCTGTGTGTCAAATGAATAAATAAATCTTTAAAAAATGATAATAAAAATAAAAGAGTAATACACCAATATTAAAAGAATAATACATTGAGATTAGGAATGATTTATTCCAAAAAGGCAAGGATTATACAGTATTAGCATATCTACTAATGTAATTAATATACCATTCATAGAATGAAGGAGAATGATCATACGGTCATTATTAATAGATATTTTTAAAATATTTGATAAAAACTAATTACCCATTTTGAGTGGTAACTGATTTTTGAAAGGAACTTCCTAAACTTATCAGTAGAGTTATTATATTATTATTTTAATTCCCTAAACATTTGTTTGATGATCATAGTAGGTACACTGATTAAAGTATTAAAAATGATAACAGTCCTACTAAAGTGTTTTAGGATGGATAATCAGTCAGAAATCACAGCCTCTTTAGGACAGCTTAAGACAGTGCAATAGTCAGATTAAAATTTTCATCACCTATGATGTTAGGCTTTATTTCAAATGTTGGTGAGAAGATGGGTGTGTGCCCGTATGCTGTGTATGTCTATAAACCACTGAGCGGAACTTTACGGACCGTTTACACCTACCCCTTTTTTTGCAGTATATCAGAGAAGCAGGGAAATGTTCCCCCAGCTAGAAATATTAATAAAGCAGAAATAAATTGTGCAAGTGAAAACTAGAGCCCAGAACTGGATGCTCTTCTTAGCAAATGTAGTAAGTACCTTCTTTCGGGGGAATGACTGATAATTGAATTTTGCCTGGTTATCTTCTGGCAATAATTGCCTTAAAATTGTCAGTTTGGTGTTTGTTAAGCCCCAGTTGTTACATGAGCAGTATTGTGATGGGTATTTACAGACGTAACCTTGGATAGAATCGGGTCCGTGCCTCCCAGAATGAACCATATTATGAACTATGTTACAAGGTATGACTTTCAGGGGGCAGTGGGTTCAGGGAGGTGACGACATCAGAGCCAGCCTTTTGTAGGGTAAGTAGGATTTCCACACGTGGAGAGGAGAAGGAAGAGCTTCCCAGACTAGAACAGTGCCAACTAAGGCATGGAGGCAGGAGCTGCTAGAAGGTATGTTTATATAATTGAGTGGTGCTCAGACCTAGCCAAGGGTTAGTGTTACTTGAAAACTTTGTTAAAAAAAAAAAGAGAGAGAGAGAAGAAATAAAAAGTGAAAGAAGCACTCCAGGCCTCCCACCATGGAGATCTAATTTAGTGAGGGAGAGATAAGGCCAAGACACGTTGTTTTTTGGGTTGTTTTCTTTTTTTAAGATTTATTTATTTATTTATTTGAGAGAGAGAGAGAGAGAGAGAGCAGGGAGAGGGAGAGAATCTCAAGCAGGCTCCCTACTGAGCGGGGAGCCAGCCGCGGGGCTTGATCTCACAGTCCTGAGATCATGATCTGAGCGAAAACCAAAAGTCAGTCGCTCAACCTACTGAGCCACCCAGGCGCCCCTAGACACATATTTTTCTAAAATCCCCATGGATGATTCTGATGCACAGAGTGGATACTGTGCTATGGTCTAGTATGTGACAAGTCTGTAAGGGTTATGGAGATACTATGGGATATGCTGCTGGAAAGATATATCGGAGCCAGTGATAACTGAGTAACACTATTTGGTTTTTGTTTGCTTCTTTTTTTTAAATTTCTGTTACGTCACTACCATTCCTCCATTAGATATCAACCAGATATCCCTTACACAAAATTTGACCTCTTGTGTGAATTCAAAACAAAACCTATTAAACGAGATGAGGAGGAGGAACCAGTCAAGAATCTTGTTTCAGTAAGATATTACTGTATAATTTCCCCCAAAACTTAAAACAAAAATCATTTTATTATCACTTACAATCCTGTGAGTTGACTGGACTCAGCTGGGCAGTTCTGCTCCCTAGGACATTGGCAGGGGCGGGCCACAGTCATCTGGCAGATCGGTCCAACTTGAATGTCCAAGATGGCTCATTCGCATCACTTTCATCTGAGAATTCAGCTGGGGCTGTCCTCTGGAACATCTTCGTGGGCTTCTCACTGCATGGCATTTGGACTCCAGAGGAAGCATCTCAAAAGCAAGCATTCAAAAAGGCCCAGACTACTGGATGCCTGGCTGGCTCAGTCAGTGGAGTTTGTGACTGACTTTTGATCTCGGGGTTGTGAGTTCAAGCCCCACGTTGGGTGTAGAGATTACTTAAAAATAAAATCTTTAAAAAAAAAAAAAGGCCCAGACTACTAGGCTTCTTCCAACCTAGTTTTGGTAGTTCAGATACATTCTGTTAGTTTAGTCGACCGACTCACTTAGACCAATTTAAGTCACAATGGAATGTGACTTAAACTCTGTCTCTTTCTTTTTTATGATTTTTAAAATTTATTTATTTGAGAGAGAGAGCGGGAGGGAAAGGAGGAGAGAATCAGAGGGAGAAGCAGACTCCACGCTGAGCACAGAGCCTGACGTGGGGCTCAGTCTCACAACCACGAGATCATGATCTGAGCCGAAACCAAGAATCTTAACACTTAACCGACTGAGCCACCCAGGTGCCCCAGACTCCATCTCTTGCTGGGAAGAGCAGCGTGCGTCTACAAGGAAGGAAGTAGATGGCAATCATGTTCTGGAGAATTGCGCCTGCGATCTGAATGCACCAAGTACTACAGCATCAAAATACATAAAGGAGAATTGTAGGAAATTTAGATAGATGTCAACAAAAGTGCAATTAGACAAAACAATAAGTAAGGATAAAAGGAACCTGAATAATATAAAATGCTTATGTAGATTTATGTATTGAATTCCTTATCTGACAGTAAAGAATATTCCTTTATTTCAGGCATCCATAGAATCTCTGCTCCCCCCCAAAAGAGAAGCACTTGAACCCCTCTATACTGGTCTGTTTCCTGGCCTCTCAGCGTTGCAGAAATAGTTAATGGTGGTGTTTGTTTCATCTGTTACCACACACTGCTCTTGTGTTAAGTGAGGTTCTTCCTATTGGGGAATCCTATCCTCTGGATGACTTTTTTTACACATAGTATAAACAATTGAGTTATACATTCTCTCTTAAGTTCTTGGTTTCTGGGGCACCTGGGTGGCTCAGTTGGTTAAGCGACTGCCTTCGGCTCAGGTCATGATCCCGGAGTCCTGGGATGGAGTCCCACATCGGGCTCCCGGCTCAGTGGGGAGCCTGCTTCTCCCTCTGACCTTCTCCCCTCTCATGCTGTTTCTCTCTCTCTGTCAAATAAATAAATAAACAAAATCTTTAAAAAAAAAGTTAAGTTCTTGGTTTCTTATTTGTTTTCTGAAAAGAGTGGCATTGGGGGCTTTATTTTGATTCTCCACAGTCTCATGATACGAGTAGTTTTGACTTGTTCTGGGTGCTCTTTATACTTCAAGGTCAACATCCAGCAACCACTGGAATCCTCTTGTAATTTCCCAATAATGCTGACGTAGGAACTGAGCTGGAATCCTTGCCAACACTTGTTTTCCATGTATTGTTTTTTTTTTAAAGCCCCTTCAGAAAAAAAATAATAGTGTTAAGATCCATGTTTTTTTTAAATCTTTGCTTTGCTTTCTGAAACTCAGTTATTTTACCCTCCTCGTAAGAATCTAGAGTCTGAGGTGGGAACCCAGGTTGTGGGGATGATGTCATTTCCTGGCCCGTCAGTGATGAATCTGAGTTACTTACTGCTTCTGTCTCAGTGTCCCCGTATGATGCCAGGCACTCTTTCTGAACTGGCATTAAACCGGCTGAGATGAGAAGTTTAAGCAACCAGCCATCTTCCTCAGTAACAGTCCGATCCGTTTGCCATTGCAGGTCGTCACGCTGTGGTACAGAGCTCCAGAAGTCTTGCTTCAGTCCAGCTACGCCACCCCTGTGGACCTCTGGAGTGTTGGCTGCATATTTGCAGAAATGTTTCGTAGAAAGTAAGACATGCCTTTTGTTTCACTCTGTCTTCCTTAGAAAGAGACTTTTTGGGTCTTCGATAATTTAAGTGGCAGCGTAGCATTTCTCTTGCAAGTAAGGTCATGATATATAGATATATAGATATCCAGATCCACCTGCTTCGGGCTACCACGCCCAAGCCTGTCCTGGAAACGCTTTCTCAGTCCTGATTAGTGTAGTTCTGTGGGACTCTAACTTCCAGCTCTTGGAAACTCTGTTTGGAAAGAAACATGCCATTGTTCTTACAACTTATTTTTGTTGGTGATGATAGGACCTAGAAATATCCTCAAGGTGGACCTTGTGCACAGGAGAAGGACCAGGGCTATTACATGTATGGAAATTTGGATGGTGAGGATAGTTGTTTACCCAGAATATTCAGACTGAAAAGGACAAGGCAAGGAAGATGTCAGCCCTGCTTCAGGATGCTGTAAATGCTGTCAGCATGAGGAGAGATTAGGCATATTCAGGCACGACAGAGAGCAAAACAAGGACCAGGGATATAGAAATGACAGAAGTAAAGGTTTTTTGCTCAGACGTGGGAAAATCTAATATTAGACAGTTATCTGAAGAGAAGATTGGGGTTCGTGAAAATAGTGCATTCTCATTGGGTGTCCAAGAAGAAACTGGACCACCACACATTGGAGGTGTTTTCTGTGGCATTAATAAGAGTGCGTGGGTGGGCGGCGTGACCTCCGGGGACCTCTGACTCTGAGAGTCTGTGATTCATTTGTTTGATTTTCAGGTCACAAGAAATAGCCAAACAGTATAATAAAGATCTGCCCAGAAAATAATCCATACCTGGGTACTAAATTCAGCAAATCAAAATTAAGCAGAGAACCTCTTCATAATCTATTAACTCCTTGTTTTCTATTTTTATTTCCATGGGAAACATGAGTTGGAAAGTTGAGTATATTCCTATTGCACATGTTATGTTCAAAATGTCAGCTACATGGTAGCTCACAAGGAAAAGAAGTGATTGGCCATTCCTTCCTTGCCTGTCTGTTTGTTCTTTTGTTTTAGCCAAATGAAGTTTGGTGCATGTCATAAATTTTGGGACCTATTTTTAGAACTCAGCATTGTTTAATATGTAGCTCACAGGAGGGGATCATGCCAGAGAAATCAGAGTACATAGATGTTCTGTGCTGGCCTACTGTGTGCCAAGTACAGGACCAAACCTCTTCCCTTCTGTTACTTTTTATGCCTCCCCATGGAAGATAACTGAGATGCAGTGATAAATTTATTTGTCTAACATCAAGCAGCTAAAAAGTAGCAGGGGTACTGGTCCAAATGAAGTCTTGTGCGTTTTAATCCAGTGTTGTTTTTCTACCAAGGAGGGAGGAGAAAAAGTAATATTGAATTCAGCTTCAATGTTTGCCAAACAGGCTAAATAAGTGGTTTGGAAGTGTAGTTCTTGGACCAACAACATCAGCATCTCTAAAGACTTTGGTTAGAAATGCAAATTCCCACCTCCCACGGCCCACTGGATCAGAAGTTCTTGGGCTGGGGCTCAGCAGCCTGTGTTTGAACAAGCCCTTGAGGTGATCCTAATTCACCCTTGAGGGTAAGAACCACTGGGTTGGATGACAGGATCACCAGGGATGAGCAATCTTTAAATGCGCAACTCCCAGACCTCTCCCTTAGAGATTCTGATTCATAACTGGGCTGGGGCCAGGCATTCTTGTTTTTAAAAGCACCTCATGTAATTCTTTTCATCAGACAAGTGTAGAAAACATTGGGTTAAAGGATTATGGTCAGGAGTGCCTGGGTGGCTCAGTCAGTTAAGCCTCCGACTCTTAATTTGGACTCAGGTCATGATCTCAGGGTTGTGAGATCAAGCCCCGCGGCTGGCTCCCCGCTTGGCTGGGAGTCTGCTTATCCCTCTCCCCCTGATCCCCCCACCAGCCTGCTCGAGGGTGTACACGTGCTCTCTCTCCCGATCTCTCTCTCTCTCTCAGATAAATAAATAAAATATTTTTAAAAAATAAAGGATTATGGTCAGAACAGAAAATAAGCGGGGTGGAAGTCAGGACAGTCATTCTAGTTCATCCCATAAATAAGTTCATTCAGCTGAGAGCTGATTAGAGAAATGTATCTTAGAATTATATTTATATATCTAGAATTGTCCTCAAATACAAAGATTGAGTCCTTCTTTTGTAATGGGAGGAAAGCGGTCAGTTATTTTTCAATAGTATAAGACTTGAATACCAGCCACTCTTGACGATAAAACCAATATTTTCCTGAAAGATGTTAAAAGAAAATAAAATTTAAAATATGTAGTGTTAGGCATTTACTAGTAAGGAATTTGCTGTATTTCTAAGGATAGCTAGTCACTACTTATGGAACAATTGCAAGCTGAATTTTCACTTTATAGCATTAAAACATTTTCCCACTGAAGTGGCCCAGTCTAGCTTGCAGAATCCTATATAACCTGGAATATATATGAAACGTTATTTGTGCTAATTCATCAAACCCTATTTTCTGTTTGTAACATTTTTTCTATGGAAAAATTCATTCTCTGTTCCAATCCAAGAGGACAAGGATACCCTTCTCCTCACCCCAGCACGGGGAAGGGGGGACTCAATGTTGGAGGCTCAGGGAAAGACTCCTTTCATGATGGCAGCTAGAGCTGAGAAAGTGAGGTGGTGGGTAGAGACCCATTGGCTCTTTAGATGTGCACAAAAGAAAGTTACCCTCTCTCGGAGCCTTGCGTAGAGGTAGTAAATTGAGAATTAATTGCCTGAAGGAGGAAGCAATATCAGAATCCAGGCCCATGTGCCTTTATGGCTGAAGGAGAATGAATCCAGGCCTACCACACATCATTCCTGGGCTGGGTGCCCTGTCTCCTAGGTAGTTCCTGCTGGTTTGGCTTTGACCTTGAATATGGCCGTGGAATCTGACCCTTGTTCCTGCTCTGTTCATGTTTGGTATTTCCTATGATAACACCAAGATATCTGAATGTGCATGCTTCTTACTCATGCCAGATGAGTTCTGGGGTCCAGCCCCCAGCTTGACCTGATTCTAGCTTGACTCCTGAGTCCGTGTTGGCACATCTATTGCAGTGTCCAGCTGAGAATTTACAAGCCATAGATTCTGAAAGCAGACTCCCTCATTACCTTAGGCTAACCCTAAATCAGAGAATCGTGGCATGTGTCCACTCTGGGTTCCTACTTGTTACTATGGCAATATTTCCCAAATGTTGTCATCTTTTTTAACACCTTCATGGTTTTTGCCATATTCTTGAAACAACTATACTTACATAATTTTTTACCCTAAACAATTTATCTTTTCTTAATTGAAGTATAATTGACATACAATATTATATTAGTTTCAGATGTACAACCTAGTGATTGAACATTCATGTGTGTTACAAAGCAGTCACAATTTAAATCTAGCTACTATTTGTCACCATTCAAAGTTGTGGGAATACCTCATTTTATTGTGCTTTGCAGATACTGCATTTTTTACAAATTAAGGTTTGTGGCGATCCTGACTCAAGCAAGTCTGTCAGCAACATTTTTCCAACAGCATTTGCTTATGAATTCATGTCTCTGTCACATTTTGGTAGTTCTTGCAGTATTTCAAACTTTTTCATTATTACCATGTTTGTTATGGTGATCTATGATCAGTGATTATGACTCACTAAAAACTCATGATGGTTAGCGTTTTTTAGCAATAAAGTATTTTTAATTAAGGTATATACATGGGTTTTTTTTAGACATAGTGCTATTTATTGCACACTTAATAGACAAGAGCATATGTAAAAACATGACTCTGACATGCCCTAGGAAACCAAAAAATTCATTTGATTTCCTTTACTGATACTCACTTTATTATAGTGGTCTGGAACCAAACCCGCAATATCTCCGAGATTTGCCTGTATTTCATTTATTTCTGCTCTCATCTTTATTATTACCTTCCTCCTACTAACTTTAGGCTTTGTTCTTTTTCTGTTCCTTTAGCTTGTTCTTGAGGTGTAGTAGACCTGTATCACTGTAAAATTCTGTCATAGAGGGGCGCCTGGGTGGATCAGTCGGTTAAGCGTCTGCCTTCGGCTCAGGTCATGGTCCCAGGGTCCTGGGATCGAGCCCCCCGCATCGGGCTCCCTGCTCGGCGGGAAGCCTGCTTCTCCCTCTCCCACTCCCCCTGCTTGTGTTCCCTCTCTCGCTGTGTCTTTCTCTGTCAAATGAATAAATTAAATCTTTTAAAAAATAAATAAATAAAAAATAATAAAAGCACTACATTTTTACTCCCTCCCATCCATGTTTTAGTTTTTGACGTTATATTTTACATATTATTTTGTGTGTTCCTCGACTAATTATTATGGCTCTAGGTGATTTTACTACTTTTGCCTTTTAACCTTCATACTAGCTATGTAGGTGGTTGATCCACTACCTTTACTATAAATTTACCTTTACCAGTGAGATTTTTTTCTTTCATAATTTTCTTTTCTAGTTATGCCATTTTCTTTGCCATTTAAAGAAATCTCTTTAACATTTCTTGTAAAGCCAGTTTGCTGTTGATAAGCTCCTTTAGCTTTTGCTTATCTGAAAAACTCTTTATCTCTCCTTCTATTCTGAATAATAATCTTGCTGGGTAGAGTATTCTTGGTTGTCAGATTTTCCCTTTTAGCACTTTGAATATACCTGTAAAGTTTCTGCTGAAAAATCAGCTCATAGTCTTATGGGGGTTCCCATGTTCATAACTAGTTGTTTCTCACTTGTTGCTTTTAAGATTCTCTCTTTAACTGTTGATACTTTGAATATAATATGTCTTGGTGTGGATCTCTTTGAGTTCATATTATTTAGGACTCTGTGTGCTTCCTGGACTTGGATGTCTTTTCCTTTACCAGGTTAGGGAAGATTTTAGCCTTTTTTTTTTTTTTTTTTTCAAATAGGTTTTCTGTCCCTTTCTGTCTCTTTTCTCCTTCTAGGATCCCCATAATATGAATGTTAGTATACTTGATGGTGCCCCAGAGGTCCCT